CACACACACCCTTCCGACTCCGATTAATGACCTTTAACTGAGCCAATGGCTGTCGTTCTGTAAGCATTGTCCCACTAAATGATATGTAAGAGCACGACTAGGAATATCCAGAAATATACACTGTACTGCGATGGCACGATTACGATGCACTGAAAACATGGACCAACAGCATTTGGATCCGCCTGAAGATAGTCTCGTCTCGTCTATGTTGCCCACCATTGATGCCCCACTCGAACAATTCGTTCTTCCCATTAAACCGGATAACTTTTAACCATGAACTGCGGGAGGGTTGGGGCTGGGTTCATACATACAGAAACACACACACACGACTCAAAGGCTCCGCCGTGAATCGTTTCTGTCAGTTCCTCGTGATTTTGTATGTGGTCCACTCCATGGATTCTGGTCCTCATGCTTGTCTCCATTTTTCATTGAATGAACTTCTGTATGATCTGCTGTAGTGACCCTCAGTCCGCACAGGATAACACTCAAAAATGCAAAATGTGATTACCGTTATTGATTTATCATACGGAGCCAAAAGAACTTGTACCGTCTGATATATAAAGGTCGACAAGTTGTACAACCACAGCTGTCTGGTTTGGTGTGGTGTCCTGGTCGGGAGTAAACACCTCTTACCGTACCCTAGACGATGTATAATTTATCTACGAGTCACGGTTGTTTTCAGGATATCAGTGCATTTTGATGCTCACAATGAAGTGAATAGTAGTCAGGTGACCCAAAGCAAAAAATCAAAACAGTCAGAACCGATACGTACTGCATGACACGTGATTGCTGCTTGCGTGGAAACAGGTCATCCGGAAACAGTGGTGCGCTAACCAGACGCGCTTTCTTTCAAGCACAGATAAACAAAAACGCACGAACTCTTGTCGTCATCAAAAAAAGTCAAATCGCCATCAGATGTCATGCTCACCTGAAGACTGAGTGCTTTAATGTGAGGCGGTGTCAGTACAACTGTGAAATCGTGGACAAGCGCTTCCAAATCGGATGCCATAAATTCGAACACGAGACAAATACAGCGATCCTGACTGAACACGTCCATCACGGTCAAAACATTCGGATGATCCAATTCTTTAAGAGCTTTGATTTCACGGATAGCAGACAGATTCATCCCATCGGCTAACACCCATCTGGGTCCAGCTTTGACCTGCAGTGTGTGTGCGCGCGTGAAAGTTAAGTGTCACGGCAAGAAGGTAAACATGAGTAGAGTACAGACAAGATAAATTGAGTGTGTCGAAAATGTTTTCATTTAAAGAAATGATATAGCAGAGATGGCGAAACTATTGGGACGAAGATCATTGCTATTCGTCCTAAAATAAGCCCGGTTGCATATTTGCTAATTCTGTGAAAAAATCGAACAAATCCACAACACATTTGACTCAAATTAGGGTCATCTCGGATCAATACTAATCTCGCGGAGATTAACCAATAATATTGCGTCTTACGGTAAAATTCACTCTGTCCGTCCGTCTGATTCGTGGCCTATGATCGGCTGAACTTTGCTAAGTGTCTAATTGATTGGTGTAATTTTTTCTTGCATTGATCGATGTTGTTTTTGAGTCACATAATAGCATCGGAGTAAGACTTGAAAGTTGACATGTGACTTGTGTGCAAGGACAGTAAAATAACCGTGCTGCTGAAGCCGTGCCTTCTCTCTCGCGCATTGTGGGAGGCTTGAGAGATCGATTGCCGACCGTGCGTCCTGTGTTTCACCCAGGTAGCTTCCGTTCTTAGAGCTATCATTCGCTCACGGACTTAGTCCGCTGTTCTTGTTTTTCTATGTGCTAATGGTGTTACTGTGCTATGTATTGTGTTCCTTGCACTTGTGGTGTTCACCTGTGATATAGGGCTGTGTGACATCATAGTAGGCAACGGATGTAAGCGGTGTAAAACAGCAGAAACCAACCAACTCTGAGTAGCCGGAAGCACTGAAAACCCATATTGTTCATTTGTTGGCACAGCGAAAACAAATATTGTGCGGAGTAGGAACATTTTATGTGATCTTTCAATCACTTAGGTCAAACAACCGGAACTTAAACAAGATTAGGTTGACAGTTGCAATGAACAAACATCATAACGGAAGCAAGTATGGAGGGATAAAGAAAAAAATGAACAAAAGTCATATCCATAATAGTGACAGTGTGACTGTTAATCACATGTGGACACACGGGAATGCGACTAGCTAATCTGATTAGAACTGTTTTGTTCACAGTTTAATGCACAAAGCGGCCATAAAAAGGGACCATACACATGTTCCATGATGTGTGCCACAAATTTCGTTCAGTCACGATCGACACGATAACAGTTGTACAGTTAGAGGCATCACCAACACATCTGGAGGAATCTTCCAGAAAGAGTTGCATTTCAAGTTGACCCTCGACTAAATCTACCGTTTGATTCACTAAAATGAAAACGCACTGCTGAGTAGAATTTTTAGCTCCGTCTCAGTTGAACTTTTACGCGACGAAACGGTTTCTGAAGTGGCAGTGGGTGAACACAACTCACCACATCGCCACACTTGATCCCTCCGGTTTGAAGATGTATGCATTTTTTCGCAGTTGAACCCATCTGCTTTTTGCTTTGTCAGGAATGACAAGCTTGCATTCGTTTCATAGTACCCCAAAACTCAGGCCCAAGCGTCCAACCAGACCAAATGTGTTTGTCATCGTCCGTTAAGCTCATCTTACAACGACTGATAATTTTGAGGAGCAGCGAAAGATAAACACAAAGATTTACGAGCCGCAAACACACAGACGATTCAGGATGGAATGTGTGCACGGACTTGTGAGGTGAGATTCCTCAATACCATTTGAGGCACCGTTTCGTGCGGCAGAAAAATCTACTCAGCAGTGTGTTTACATCTTAGTGAATCACCTGGTAGATAGATATATTCAAAGCACAAGCTCGTTTTCCGTGCACTCTGATCATGCCATCACAACAAAATGTAGCATATAACTTCTCGCTTACCCGGATATCTTCGGGTTGAGCAGAGCTGAATGCTACCAGGCGCGTCCCCGAGTTGTGGATAGGGGGATACCTTCACCGAAGAAGGTAAGCGGTGAATACGGTGTGGCATACCGCGACAAATAAGCAGTCGCGAACAAACAGCGGCGGCACTACCACGGTGAGATGGGTTTCAGGCTGGTGACCAGCCTGTTTAAAAGCCACATAAGTCCAATGACGGTGTCCTGACAAAGGTCGATGTGACTGGCCTTTTAGAACTAGAGTCACTGACCCCCTCACTTCCGAGGCGAGGGATTACTTCCTGCTGCCTTGCAGTTCACACTTGGTTGTGCAAAGGTTAAAGATGCGTCCTCAAAACAAAAAAAACGCCGAGTGACGCAGGGGACGTCTCTCGTACCAAACTCCCAAGGAACTTTATGATCATTATCATATCCAAAGCTGGCTTTTTCCTTCCAAGGAGTTAGGAACAGTAAAGTAAGATAGTATCACTAATATGGAAAGAAAATCTCTACCACATCAACTGCATTTAAAATAGCGTAAAGAGAACAAAATCTACCCCATGCTATTTGAGCGTTGTGTAATTGTGGAACAAATTTGAATTTGTACTCAATACAACTAAATTTCTATATTCCTATTGGGCTACACGTCCGCTATTTGAAAAAACTGTGACTTCCACACATTGCGCTGACAACTGTAAACTTAATCATCGGTCACATTATGCCTTCATTACGGGGACAGATGGACAGGACACACATGGAAGATTTTCACAACGTACGGCAAAACACATTCTCAAGCGGGTGGGGCAAAACAATTATGAAGTAAAACACCCGACGCCTATCCTGATGAAAATCCAGGGTCGTCCATCGATTGTGGAAATCGCAACACGAGAAACAGTTGACCCGATTTTCTCCTTTGAAGTGTTAGAACGTAATCACAATCCGAGGCGAATCGGATTACGTTACCGAGCTCCCTGTGCCCAAAACCCATCAATGCAGGCAGTCTTGGATACCAAGGTTATGAGCTGAGATCAGTACATACTCTCTTCTCTTCGTGTTTGTTTACTTCAGTTGCTACCAAAATGTTGCATCAGTGTCTGCAAGATCATCCTCGGAAGGACCCAAGTCTAAATCTTAATTTTACTACCGTTGGGTTCAAACTATGCAACAATCTGTGGTGGCAAGTGATACAATATGAGCGCCCGATACCCTCAACAGCACACATTAGATTAGTGCATTACTAGATAAATCAGTCCCATTTGTGCGAAACGTTCCCAATTCGGGTTGAAAGATTCACTCCAGTTAAAAGATATCTTATTGATGTTACTTACCAACAGTGTTTCCTTGCCTCATATGATCTTGTTTTGTAATTTTTTAACATACAAACGAGTATTATAAATATGCTAGTGAAATCAGCTTTCAGGCAAATGAATTGAGGACGCCACTAGAATTGTGTTTGTAATGTGCAGTTTCCCTCCAGTGGCACAATCTACCGTCAGATAGATGGGGTGGTTATGGAATCAATCTGAGCTGATCATGTCGAAACTTGAGAAAAACGCTGAAAACGGGCTCAAATCTGCCGCGCTTTACCATCGTTAAGTCGATTATATGCTGGTTATAATCTAAAACAAAATAAATTTGATTCCTAGACATACAACGGACCAGACTGAGGAGCAATGCCAACATCAATTCACCACAAATGAACATCAACATGGCAGTATTCACACTATGAAAGCTGTTACCTTCTGCGTTATAATATGGGATTGATAAGAAATCTGCACTACACAGTGAACCGAGAGAACTGAAGAATGCTGAGTCCGCGAATGGCCACCCCTTGCGTTTTATCCAGAAGCATAACAAACCTATCATCCCCAAGTCACAGTGCACAACGCTCGAAAAGAAACCTGTATTCCTTAGTGTCCGATTTAAAGGAGACGATGTAATGGTTGGCGTTGGTCTTCAACGCCGTACTACAGTTGAGTCTACTTATCTTACCACGAAGGTGATCATGGTTCGGACGACAACCAACTCACTAACTCATTTTTAAACACAGATAGATTCAACGATTCAGTCACCTCCAGATTCATCTAATCTTTTCAACGTACTTGCGATTCGCGGTAAGCCGGAAGGACTGAAAGCCAACTTTCGACCAAGATGATTGAGTAAGGTCCGAGAATTTGGCACTTCGAGGAGAAAAAAGTTCCGACAAGTGCTGTGGAAAGCTGGATGTCGGACACTGGATTGACAAACTCAAGACTCTCGCTCTTATCTTCAAACTTTCAAGCTCAATAGAATAGCTTAACCGAAGCGGTTGTCTTTAGCCGTTTGAAGCGTCACCTTTGTGTGAAAAAGGCATCGGGGGCGGAGTTACAACTTCCACGGTAATTGATTTGTACAATCCCTCCCATTCATACATCTCAGCCACTCCCGTACTCCATCGATGATACCTCGACCTTCTTATTTCTCTATTGCGTAACTCTTTTGACCTCCGTGACTGACCGATTTCCTATTCCGTTAACTTTCTATATCCGCGTCAACAATTTCTGGCTTTATCCAGATGAATTGTTTTCTTAGTCGGTAGTAAGCATTAACGACTTCCTTCTCCCTGTGGTTAATCGATTTTTCCTGCTCAACTGTTTCTCCACTTTCTGACTACTTGTAATCATAATCAGCCTCTTCTCGTTCACTCACTTCAAAATGACTTTTTTTAATGACTCAACAACCAACAATTTTCCCGATTGAACCAATATAATCATGTAAATGTTCATGTATGATATTATTACTTGTTTTAGTCAAATTTATGGTAGTGGTCTGTAGCTTTTAAGTGCTGTTTGCGTCTACAGCAATACAGTGGATGTTTCGTCTTGGACCTTGGGGTGTTGGAGAGACCGATACACCTGTACAACCAACCAATCCCCTTAAAAAATAACAAATCACGCAAACAAACCCGAGAATGCAGAGCAGAGTTTTGCGGACAAATTGGAAGAATATCCATTGAAAAACAGATTTGGAAAAACACGAGAGAAGTGATGGAATCGAAGGTGCTAGGGATCAGAAAGTATTACGGCGCGATCAGTTAGCACTGCCTCTCACTACCTCTGAAACTTCGGCTCATGAAACTCACCGCACCTTAAACACAGTGGCCGATGCATACTGGAGAAAGCCACGTGGACGTGATTAGGTAGATTAGACGTCCCTCGTCTTCTAGGTTGGGGCTCAAAAGATTCTGGAACTGGAGCGTTAGAGTCAATGGAGGTCATGGCAACAAACCGAAAGCAGTGGCGATTTTGCCGTCACTTCTTATCAGACCAGAATGCTTAAAGTAGTATGCATGCACAGTCGGACTGTGTACTCTGTGTATTGACCCCAGAGATTTGCCTGACACTTCAGCTACACGGTCGACGGTTAGCACCTTGTATGAATGGCTCAATCAATTTACACTATCAAGCTTGGATTAGCCCATTCGATTATTCAGAGGCACCGGGCACTCTTGATGGTCTTGGGTGTGGGTTTCACTCCTTGGGAGATTGTTAATTCCCCATGAGGGCTAATCCAAGCTTGATACTCTAAATTGATTGACCCATTCGCACAAGGTGACAACCGTCGACCGTGTAGCTCAAGGAGAAGGGTTTGAAGTCCCAGTCTGGAGAATCGCGATTCGAGTCCTGATACAAAAAGTACAGACTGCCGACAAGTCCCAAATAGGCCGAGACAGCTGTCCAGTGCTCCTTGTTGGTTATCACAAACATTTCCATCGTATCTGAAGTAAAAATACATTTATTTCATTTACGAGATGCGCGTTGTCTGAAACACACGACTGGTGTCTGTCAACAATTCTGTTCTTTTATCAGTCACGGGAATGCGATGTGCATGTAAGAAGATAAAACTCGCAAGTGACATCGGTCAACTGTGTGATGATTTGATTTATCCGCTTGAGAACCCGGATTTAAGATGACCAACAACGTAAGGAAAAACGACCACATTTATTTGGAAACTGCTTAATAACTCAGGAATGGATTCTCATCTGAAGCAATTCGAACCACACTAATGGAAATGCATAACACGATTGAGGGAACGTTTTGACTTGGTTCAAGGTGACCACCCACCACCACTTGTATGCGCAAGTCGCTTGCACACAAAAGAAACGCAACTAGAGCAGCAACACATCTTTACCAATGGTTGGAAATAATCTTCATCTTTGTTTATCACAGGTAGGCAACTTACGCATAGAAAAGAAACCCAATTCGGAAAATTATGATTACTTTCAGCATACTTTGAATCAGTGTTACAGTCTGTTTGTTTGCGTGTCCCGGGTTTTCACCAACCTAAATTTAATGATGAGCTATGATGGACTAATCGATTCGGTAAGGCTAAGAGGTCTATATGCACGACACTCGGTATGGGAGGTTAAGGAGTGAGAAATACGTTCGGATAATAATTGACCAGATAGAATAAACGGGAAAAGTACAGCTCTAATCGAAGAGGATATACAACCGCAGAAGTACTGAAGTAATCAAATTCATACTCTTATTCATCAGCGGGACGTGATACGATACTCTAGCCCAGTAGTTTATGTGATGAGCTTTTAGTCAGCGGATAGAATTGCTGAAAATTCAGCCGATACTCCCATTCTATCCGTTCCTCCGTAATGAGCTTGCCCAGTTTGTGATGGATTGTGAGTAGAACAGAAGGAATAAAACGAAATTTATTGCGTGGGAGTGAGGGAGGATTTGATTTGTTCATATGATGAACTCATCGTGTAAACGAGACGTGAGTTCAAAAACTGGGAAGCACTAGACAGTCGTTTCGATCTGGTTGGGTCTTATCAGCAGTGCGCAAATTCATCCACCCAACTGGGGATGGAACCCGGGATCTCATAAGAAGAACGCAAGCATACTACCCACTTTTCAGCTTTTCATCACATAAACAAATCAAACCCTCCATTACTCTCACTCAACAAATAATCAGGTTGTGGAAGTTTCCAACCCTGGAGGCTAGTGCTAAGATGAGCGAGGACCGACATTAGAAACAACCTCGCATACATGGATTGTACTATATCGTGTAAATGAAAATGGGAAACGGTCTGATCTACTGCCCGGTTTCCAAGTGGGTAGTATACTTGCGTTCTATCTGTGGAGTTCGGGTTCGATCCCCAGTTGGGTCGATCGATTCGCTCATTGCTGATAAGACTCAACCAGGTCGAAACAACTGTCTAGTGCTTTCCAGCTTATCAGCTTACGCCGCATTTACACGACGAATTCATCATTAAAACAAATTTACTTGAAGTAACTTAACGCTGATAACAAGGAAAGTCAGAGGTCTATTCACACTGGTGGTCGATGGGCTTGCAGCTATTCTTTAGGATTAGTTGAAGTCTTTCTGGAGTGAAACCCACGAACTTGATTATGAAACCATGTTCGATTTTTCGCTCCATCACAGTTTGGCTAGTTATATTAGCGACCAACGTCACTAGGGGCTCAATTCAAAAAATGATCCAGATAAGAACTTGACTATCTTGACAAAATTAACACCTGCCCTCCTTGGTTGCGNTCAATACGGGCTTCGCATTGGTTGCCATCTGTCATTCCTCCCTGTAGATGGTGGGAGAAAGTTATCCGTAGAGTTGCGAACAGGGATTTTCAACACTGTTCTAACCCAGGACCAAATAGTCTTCCTTATTCGGTTTTCTGCTTCCCCCTCTCACCAACCCAAAGAGTACACGCGTTCGTGGTTCTCACAAAATTATGATACAAATACTACTTTCATTTATGTTGAAGCACCGGACAAGATTTGTAATGGTAGATTCAAGCTTGGAGGCTCTTAGGGTTTGCCGTACAGATCTTTTTACATTAATATACCGAGAACTCTTGGTTTCACCAGCTTCTTGTTTCGTTATAGTGATAACCATATGGGCAATCCATGGACCGACCAGAAAACGACCTTGATTTAACGATCGTTCTGAAAATGATGGGGAGTCCCAAATTTGTGAGTTCATTGTGAATCACTATTAACAGATTTTCAAATCATGAAAGAAGCTCCTTTGATCTTTTTATAGAGGCAGAATTATTGATAGCATAAAGGTTAAAAGAAACAATTCTAACAAAGATGTGTTTGAATGATTTATAAGACCCTTGTACACTCAGCTAAATCACCACATACCATGTTCAAATGATTTTATCAGTGACCAAGGTACCATAGATTCAGTTACCAATAGTGAAGGCTGGAAATGATTTGAAAGAAGAATAAGTTGATAAAGAATTTGAAAAGAAATTGGGTTGGCTGTAAAGCACCATGTTGCACAAAAGACGGAACATACAACGACAATTTACCTTCTTGATGGCTACCAGATGACCGCCACGATTCAAATCCCTCGCGAGGAATACATTCGCGAACTGACCCTCGCCCAGATAGCATATTTTCTCATAGCGTGAATTTTTCACACTCTCATCCACAAATATGTCCATATACCCGGGAGCGTGGACAAGCACTGTAATGCGAGAGAGAAAAAACCGAATGAGATCGAATGGCTTGGCAAAGTACAGCGCGGATAAACTGGATGGGACGAGTCATGCGAAGTAAATAGTAGTGGTATATTTGGAAATAGATTTACATAATTGATTTATGTCACAGGGGAGAGGAGGGAGTAGAAACAAATTGCAGACAGGGGATTGTTTACAGACTGAAATGTACAAAAAGCGCGTCCTGTCGGAGACCGGGATCGTCAGAATTCTTCCCAAACGAGAATCACATCGCAAAAGATACACATAGGATGTACAACACCCATTCTCCAAACGGACGGTCGATCTGTTGTAGAGAGAGGGTAACAAAAAAAACGATGGTGTGTCAGTGAACGTCGGAGTTGAATCCAGAAATAACAATTGGCGAATTCAGGGATCGAGTTACCAATGTGGTGAGTGACAATATTAGCAAACGGTCGTGTAAACCGAGATTCATCAGAGCACACAGCTGAATATATCGGAAGGCAATAGACAATAACCGTTTGTTTTGTGTGTGTGACTGAATTGTGAAAAGCCAGCAGTCTCGGTGGGGGAGGGGTACAATCTGTTTATGGGCAGGTCAGGTGTCGTTGTAAGACCCCCCCGGCTCTATTGACCGAGTCATGAAGTGATATAAACAGGTTACAACTTGGTCACAAAATGGATCATTGGGAACAAACTTGAGAGGGAAAACGTTCTTTTTTATATCGAAAGCTAAATTTTGCCTTTGATTATCAGATCATGTACCCACGTTAAGCATGAGTTCCCGTGATGTCTCACCAGATCTCAATAAATAAATTCTACAAAAACGGCCAAGTTTATTAAACTGCGATCACCGCTACACAGATACATTGAACATGATGGGATCTCATTTCAATAATGTCTATCAAGTGGTTTAAGTTTTTAGCCTTAAATTGCTGCTGGAGCTGCGGCTTGCTTTTCACACATTCTGAGCACTGTTGCATGTGTGACACGAGGGTTAAAATGCTTCAAAGTACTATCCGTGCTGGAACAGAACTGGAAAACGCTTGAAACTTGTGCAGAAGAGATCGGAGGGAATTAAACTTTGGCAAAATTGTTACCGTTTGACAATGAGCCGGAATCTAAAACCAACTAGCAGGGAGTATGGTTAGATCACGATTTGCTTCCACTCCATGCTGAATTCCGTTTTATTCGGAGCAACAAAGGGATCACCTGAACAGGTAAAAAGCATTGCAGAAGCGGTTCCGCTCCTCGGTTGAGTCGTGTAACGAAGGAGGATGAACTAGAACTTATGTGTAATAAAATCCATTTACTAATTGAATCATGCGTGAAATTATTATGTGTTATTGAGCAAGATTAAGGTTAAGATGAGCGGCAATCAGCAGTATCCTGGGGTAGGTTGCTGGGCAAAACTGTGCTGACCGATCGAAGCGAATATCGATCAAGAAATTACTACAATGTGCCTGGTTTATAAAACAAACATAACCAATGCATGATGGATTAGAAGTTCGTTTATCAGACACGCACACGGATCGATATGTCCGAAACGCCCCTGGAGAAAGATTTATTTTATCGATTTATCACACAATGGGTTGGATCAAACAACGGATTCACGAAATAGAGATGAGTATTAACTGACTGTCGACGGTTCTTGTGGACAAATGTAGTAAGTGTAGGAAAGGTGATCAGGCAATTTACATGGCGAAAGAAAGCATCAGAGCAAACGGGATGAAAACGATAGGGGTGGAGGAGAGATTCAAATGTCGGATTTGAACTGTAACTAAACCTCTTTCGTGGACCGATTAACGAGTACGCGGATGCAAACTAGGAAACCACAGGAGACTCACCCTGTGTTGGAATAGGCACTGCAACACGACCGCAAAGACTACAACGTCGAAAAGAAACTCCACAACATGGGTCCAATGTTTGCATACACCTTGCTAAACCGAGATCGGTGAGTTTCACGAAAGAGGAAGGTGATGGGAAAACCGAAAAGTGAAAACCAATAAGTCAGATAGGATGAGCACTCATTAACTAACACAAGAAAGCAAGAACAATGAAACAGTAAAGGTAATCATGAAATAATGAAATAAACTCATATTGAAAAGATTATTCAGTTTGAATGTCAAATAGTAACGTCTCCTTCGCCCAAACGGTGAGTCTGCTCTACAGACCGAGTTCCACTGCCCCATCTGAATTACAAAAGTGTGTGCAGTAGTCACGCCAGAAAGTATGCGAGTCAACCGATTCGGAGTGGAATATACCTAATGAGTCCTATTTGAAATGCATTGCTGAGTAGATATTAACATTGGAACTGAGGACAAATTTCGAAATCTGTGAAACAATTAAATCCGAATGATCGTAAGACTGGAGCAAAAAACAACAACACAAAAAAGAACAGAACGGGCGGAATACGACAGTTGGAGCAGAATGTGCCTGGAGAACGTGAACCTTGCAGTCCACACTTGTTTGTGCTAAAACCAGCGGTGCACTCGAAAAAAGAAGCCGACTAAGGCTGGGACCTCATCAAACTGCATGATTTTCTTGAAGTCATCTTGGTCATCCCAAGAAAACCAATCATAGTAACGAGATCATCAAGCAAGTTACATACCCGATGGTGGGCTTTCGCCCTGGAACTAACCTAATCATGAAAAGGTATCGAGTAGAACATTCCTAGTGGATACCTTAGGAATTACCTATTTTGACTGTATTTCTTCGGGTAAGAACCAGGTCTCGCTCATCTGGGAATGAACTTTAGCGATTCAGAATTTTTCGATAAACATGTAATAATGGAAGTGGATGCGGACATTGCTTAGTTTATTGGGTCAATTTTTTCTCCAGAGAATAGAGGGCGATTAAATGGGCACAGAAACCATCGGCAAATGTCTATTATGCAGTGGACGAGGAGTCCAGCCCGTTAAACGCAGCAACATAGGTCCACACGTTCAAGAAAGCTATTAACAACAATTTAGGAGGTGATGCGTTACAAATCTGCAACCCAAACACATGTGTGATGAGCTAAATTTAGGACCATATCAGATAAGTGTGGATTTGATGAACAGCGCTGGAGCTTGGATCGTGATAGCAATCAGTTTTGGGGGTCGTTACAAAGTGATCAATACGAAGCGAGTCATCAACTCAGAGAAAGATGGGCAACAGGAGTGACTTGAGTTAAGCAATTACCGGGACAATAACAGTCGTGAATAGTTGAAACAGTACGGTCGAGTAGCCAAACGAACAAATCGACCGCCAAAATAGGTTTTCCCATCAATCCCCCGAATGACTGGTGGATGTCATACGCCTCTGTGAGTTGGATGGGTGATCCAAATGAGCAAAATACCAGTGGTATTGGTGTGGCTTAGTAGCTCAGCTCGCATAGCGTGCGCTGGATGAATGCATGGTTTGGAATCCGATTGAGGCAACCAATATTTTCAGAAATCAAAAACATAAGAAGAATGCCAAACAACATAAGTGAACTTACGGATTGGATGATTTCGGTTGCATTTTACAAATTCCGGGTCCGGTAGAATACGTATCTGACATGACGCATCACGGAATCGCGTTAAGGATGAATGTAACACAGTGAAACGCTCCCTGTAAGTCTTACCGCTTGGGAACAGATTGGGGCGAATCAACTGACTAGCAGACTCTCATGACAATTATGAGCTGGGAATATAATTGTTTGAGCGTGGATGAGAATGACCGTTTTGTATGCTAATCTGATGAAAACACATGATCAATTCTGCATATGTAATACGACTATCAAATGGGGTTAGTCTTTCGCAAGACACCTATTCGAACCGGACTTGGCCAGGAGTATACTGTATACTACACAAGAATCATATCAGAGAATCTGCCTGCTTCTTATTCATCCTTTGTTCTATGCCCGAACGTGATGTAGGACGCAAAACAAAAGCTTTTTTCATGAGAGCAAGAAGCATCATGATCACAGGATGTGTTCAATTCAACTATTTGTGTAAACAGACCGAATTTGTGGTTAGCCTCGCGCTACCAGCTGGTAAGTGTCACTGTCCTCCTCCTTCCCTCCCCCTGCCCCCACCCTGCAGTGATTCCGCTCCCTGCCCTTATGTCCAATCCGGTTCATATAAGTGACCTTTGGCCTTCGTATTGATTGATTTCTCGTTCCCGTGTGTGTTCGCGTGTCCCCAAACCTGTCACTCTTTTAACCAAACGTGATCTGAAAGTATGTACACAGCGGATGAAACTACCACGAAATAGTTGAATTCAACACATCCTGTAATCATGATGCTTCTTTTTGCTCCCATGAAATTGTTAAAGGGGACTGGTTGCATGAAAAGCTTTTTCGGTTTTGGCGTATCATCAGGTTCTCGGAACGGGAATTCCATCATTCGTTTGCTCAAAATTCCGAAGATGAGGGAGATCTATCTGGATTGAGGAAAATAGGTCATGATGGCTACTGGGTTGGGATAGATGCAAGAATGTGGGGCCGGGGTGAGGGTAACAGCGGAAAAAGGATATTTTCTGAACAAATATCGCAAACTTGATTCTCTGTTGGCAAGTCTTCTGCGGGTAATTTGAAACGATGAACGTAAAGTTGCTGAGCCAACTTGCACGCTTGTTCCACGACCCGTGGAAGTGTTTTCATGAAGATTTGGTATGGGAAATCGGTAATGTCATCGGACTGCGTTTGAATTGCATTCCAAAACTTCGTCAGTAAGATAGCCATACGAACGACCAATAAGCAATCTAGAAACACAAGCTTATTGGGTATATCATTGAGATAAGTAACTGATATTCGACTGCTAACAAGAATGTGAATAAATTGTGTTGAGGCAGTGAATAACATAAAATAACGATATAGTACGGTGTGTCGGTTTCAGTTTTACTAGTATTAACCATGCACTTTCATGCGCCTGTTTTAATTGATGTTTGGATAGAAGTGCAGAATAAAGATTGAAACGTTAAGAGCAAATTCAAGGGGAAGACAGATAATTTATATCTGTTGGGTTTTCAGTTCAGCCGGCCTTCGTCAGCATTAGACCTCCCCGATTCAACTGTGCAAATACTGCCAGTTGACATCAGTCCTCTACTGGAAATAAAGGTTACCCGAGAAATAAGCTATCTCAAAAGGTATGAGGCTTTCGGCCCCGACGAACTGTCCCCATCGGTTTTTAAGGATGGAGGTTTAGCCTTGGATTTGGAGTAAACAAAACTCCTGGGTTCAGTGTGGGAAAAGGAACAGGTTCCAAGCTTTTCTGAATAGTTTGAGCACCAGTGTGGCCAAGTTCGGTATGCGTTTCGCACCTTCAAGGTGTGAAATGCTACCATAAGACTGAGTTGGCCCAGTCACCAGCCACACCCTGACTGAGGAAGTTGCTGAGAAAGCAGACACGTTTTGCTACCTGGGCAGCAAAATCTCCCGTGGCGGACGCATCACAGATGAAGTGTCGGCGAGCGCACAAATTGCTCGATTCGCATTTGCAACTTGAGACATCTGTGGCGCCGTCGCGACATCCGGTTGTTTGTGAAGGGTCGAGTGTATGCTGCAGTAGTTTGGCCAGTTCTGCTATATAACACAGAAACTTGGCCACTAAGGAAACAGAACAAAGATAGACTGTCGGTGTTTGAACACTGCTGTCTACGCAGCATTGCACG